CTTTTTATTACTGAAAATATAATGCATGATTTTAAGTGATACTTCAAAAGTAACGTACTTCATCGCATGCATATATGCATTTTTTACTCAACTTGCAGCCCTGGTATGTAAATAATTTAAATACCCAGATTTAAAAAAAATAATAAGTTTTTAAATCAAACTCTTCATTTATTATTAATAAACTTGTGTGCTTTCAGAATAAGTAACGTTTTTCACGGTAACCATCAAGGTGGGACCATTTTTTACAATACATAAAACCGGTTCTGAAGTGTAAAAAAAATGCTCTACTCTCGATCTTGTTCGTAAAATTTTGTGAATGAATCTATTAGTAGGTTTACTACAGAGCATTGCATGAGGACAAAACGTGACTACCGTAGAATCACATTCATGGACCTCTTCATCTCCCTATGATGCTTATAGAAGAGGTTGCGCACGGAAACTGTCGTGCCAAAGACTCTGCTGGAGGAATGCCTTTAGGCACGCCGGTTCTCCCGCACGGCGCTTACGATGGATTGCGTTCAATTCCATGAGGCAAAAAATGTGCGCTTTTGTGTTCGTATCCACAAATAGAATTATACTTTTTCAGTTCAACTGTCTTAACAGATTTCCTTAAATAATAATTTAAGTCAAGTTCATGTCAGTTTATCTTATTTTTTTTTAAGATCAGCCTTAAATGATTGATTTATTAAGCTTTAACAACTGCTTTAATCTAATAATTAGTTTGATATGTTGTAAGTATAATTTGTAATTTAGATTATTTTTCAGTTATAATTTAAAAAATTAATCTCCTAAAATAAAGATTTTAAAATTATTTAGCAATCGTATATGAAGAACCTCTACATCAATGGCCTACAAACTGTGTTCCACGGAACCCTGGGGTTCCACAAGTCACGATAAAAAATGGAAATGAAAATTCTAAATGTGTATGCAAAATGGATTCACGTTTTCTATGAAATTTGCATAACCACAAGTATCTAAAACTCATTCTGGTCATTAAAACTGAAAATTTCTTATTTATACAAAACTTTATTTTATAACACTTTCTTATTTTTATCATAATAAAATAAAACTATATTCAAATGTTTTTTTTTTCTTTATAAGGCCTACCTACTAGGTTAGTTACGTTCCCACACACATAGGTCCCACGAAATAATTTTACAATTGTTAGTACAATATTTTGCAAAATTAAGTAGTTCCTTAATTGAAAATGTATCTTTTTTTTTATTTGTGGGGAAGAATCCTCTTATAATGAAAGGGAGGGAACAATTTAACGGCATATCAACAGATTCGACGGTAAAAGCTGAATTTAAGTATAAACAGCTCTTAAATTTTAGGTTGTAAATTCATGAAAATACATATGATTTCTCACACAGCTGTGAATATTTTAATAATATTCAGAACAATGTATTTAAGTGAAAAATATTTCTCAGCGTAAGTGGCACAAAAACGAAATATGAAAGTAAGTGATAAGCAGAATATGAAATATGACTGCAAATAATTTCAATAGATCTAGACTTATACTATTTGAGTAAAAAAATGCTGGCAAACGTATCCCAGTTATTAAATTTAATGCATGGGTAAGTGACATTAGAATCATAAATTAATGATATAAAAATGTGTGTAAATTATGTTAAAGAATTACAATGAAATTTATTCATAACAAACACAATACTTTTTTAAAAAAAATATCGTTATTTAAAGTACTTTTAAAATGTTGATCTACTTTAAATATTATTTTAAGATATATTCTTCGAAGTGTGTGTGGAGGGGAGGGCAGAAGTGGTTCCCCGAAAAAAACACCTTGTAGTTCTAAGAATTCCGTGTATCGAAAAAGTTTGATCATTGCTACATCAATTTAATTTGCCAAAAAACTTCTAAGTTTCAATAATAGATATACATTTACTAATAACTTTTTAATAAAAGTTGATTGCATTTTTGCAAATTACTAACACATATAAAAAATTAAATTACAAAGAAAAAAGCTTGTCTTAAAAATGCAAGCAAAAAAAGTCATGATTAAAGTAAAACTTTCGTTAAAATGTTGTTGTTTAGGGAAAACTTTCAAAGAAAATTAAATCTAGGACACAATATTATAAAAAGAAAACTTAATTAATTTCACCGTAGGCTTATTCTCTCTCTTATAAAAAAATAAACACTTTTCTAAAATTTAAATAAAAAAAAGTTCGAAAATCATCAATGTAGAATCTTTTCACTGAACTTAAAAACGTTATAAAAATTATACTAAGGTTTATTCATAATTTTAAAAAATGGAGCGGTTACTTTTTTACTTAGGTATACCACAAAGGATACAGTATATGAAAATTGTTGTGTATAAAATATAAATATTTCTAATTCATTGCATAACTGCGAAAACCAATTTTTAAGAAAATATTTTTATATGAATTATTTTCATCCTACATAATACGAATCCATATTTTTACATTTACATAAAAGATTTCAATAACAACTTTTTTTTTCTTTCAAATTTTCTCACAATTTAGAAAAATTCACAGTTCGATGAGTTGAGAAAATACACTGGATTCAAAATATTTTCTCAAAATTATTCATTTTGTTGTTCATGCATGGTTTTGCTTCGAAAAACGTAAATGACATAAAAGCCACTCTTTCAAAATAGGGTTTCTACTTTTTGGAAGAAATAAATGCACTTTTTGTTAATATCTTTAAGAAAAATTTGACTCTAAATTTTATTTTAACCAAGACTTTCATTAAAAGTGCTCTCAATACAATGCGAACGATTTACAGCAGTCTTTTTCGTTGTTTTTTTAAGAAATATTCTTCTAACATTCTAAAAGCTAACGTCTAGAAATTCCTTTTCAAAAACGCATTTATTCACAATGATTTTACTTCATAAAAATGGTAATACATACTAAATACAAGATTTCTTGCAATTTTCAATATTATAACTAAGGGAGCGATTCTCAAATCGAAGCAGATCGTAAAGTCTAAAATAAAAGGTTATTTTAAAAAATTATTAATTTACTGAAGGTAGCAAAACAAAATACTATCTGCCATAATAAAAAATAAAATGCACATTGCATATTTATTGCAATCTGTTCCAATTTAAAAATTAGAAAGGAATATATATATATATATATATATATATATATATATTAATTATATGGTTTATAATTAAGGTCATATTGTTGCCTTAGCGCGCGTCAAAGTACATTATTATTGCATTTAGTACAATGTTATTGTGTGAGGGACAATTAATATAAATATATTAATATTATTATAAACTCTTATAAAAGAGTTTATGTATAACCATCGTACATGTCATATGTAAGGATTTATTACTTTGTAAGTTTACTGTCGCTTGCAAATATATATCAGCAAAATGCATAGTAACTTAAATGCATAGCAACCTTATGTTACAGTTTTTATCTGTTTATAAATATCAATAAAGAATATTCAAGAGAGATATTATTTAAGTGTGCTTAACAAAGGATTTCTCCAATCACCAATTTTATTCACATGTAAATTCAAATATAGTGCAGAATTTATATGTTACGGTAATTGTTTACATCTTTTTACATTTAAAGTAACACCAAATTAATCATCTAATAACAGTTGGATGAGTGTGCATGCATACGAGCTATGTTACATCATTTATAAATGTAATTAGTTATATTTGGTAGTTATAAATACTATAAAAAATTTATTAATTTCCTTATACTCATTCAGATATAGATTTTTCATAATGATTTTGAATTTTTACAATTTAATAATATTAATTCATATTTAAAGACAAAAAATTAATGTAGTTAAAAATATATTTTTTATTTTAAGGAGTATTACTCATTCTCTCTTCTAGGAAACTATATAATAATTCAGTTTAGAGTCATAAACAAGAAGAAAATCAAAAATCTTAGATATTATACAGTTCAATCTCCCTAACTTAATGTATTTGTTGTTATGCATACAGTTTTATAAAATAATATATTCAAAGATCAGTACATTTGATAATTAATGGTAAAAAGTATTTAAACCTACTGATATAATATTAACAGTAAAACTTTTTAATTGACTGTTTAACTTTATGTATTTTTAAGTTTGCTCTCTAAATTATAGGAACTACAAAATACACACTATATCTGCTAATATTTTAACTTTAATTTATAATGGAAAAGGGAAAAAGTAAGTTAAGAAATTTTAAAACACTATAAGCTTCTAGTTTGTTCAATAAATGGCATTTCATGTTTAAAGAGTTTGAAGTAAAACTAGGCAATCTAACTCTAAGCGGAATTCTGTGTGAATGAAGTAATATTTATAATAACAAGCTCCTCAACATTATAAAAATATAATTTATTTTAAAAACATTCCTCATCATATCTGAATTACATTCAGTTACGAATGATAGACAAATAATGTCATTCCAAAATCACCAGAATCAATAAAAACTGAAGTCAGGCCCTTTAAAGTACTTTTTAAAAGCCCATTGAAAATATAATGTGCATTTCCTAGCCTTTCAAAAATATTACTCTGAAATCTTCGAGAAATTTTCATAACATTTTCTGTTAAGAATATACGTATACATAGAATTATAAATGACTTAGCCATAATCTATGCTAGTTTTACAGGACATGTAATATTTAATATATTACATGTCCTATATTTAATAAATATAATAGCATTTATTAAATATTACGTGTATATTCATTTTATCTTCCTATCCTTTTTCGTGAAAAATCGCCTTAATACTAAAACTTTTATTCAATTCCTACTATTAGCTCACACTCTCCCTATATATATATATATATATATATATATCTTGTTCTCAAATTTTCAAACCTTAATAAAATACTTTTTATTCATTCACTCAAGTTTAAATACTTTTTTAAAACTTGTAATGGATGACCCTTGATGCTAATACAGTTTTTTCTTATATTAATTCATTAATTAAATTAAAAAATGAATAAATAGTAAAAAACAAAAATAATATTCCAACATCATATAAGAAAATGAAAATTGCTCGTTGTGTCCCTGTAGCGCAATGGGTAGCGCGTTGGACTTCTAATCCAAAGGTCGTGGTTTCGAATTCAACCTGCGATGGCCTAATTTCTGCGAATGAGATAACTTTTTACTATACTATTTTATTGGAATAATCAAATTTAATTTATGAATAATATATATATATATATATATATATATATATAGTACACAAACAAAAAATAATAGTCCAACACCATATATAGAAAGGAAAATGGAAAATTGTGCAAGAGGAAAATCGCGTTCTATTTTGCCCCTTAATATTGTGATTCTGACATATATATATATATATATATATATATATATATATATATATTAATTGTAATTATTTAATAAAATGTAACTAAAATAAAATGTTTCTTTGTTGACCTAAGTAGGAATTGACTTAACAAAAAAAAATTTTTTTGTTACTTGTTATTAAACAGACTTTAATTTCCTTCAGAGTTATATCTGAAGAAAAAAGTGAATATTTTTTTTTTTAGTTTATACCTCATTTCAAGATTGTTTTTAGAAGCAACCAAGGACAACCCCTTCTGCCTGAAAAACTACCTTACATTTTATTTTATTGTTTGATGCAAGTAGAGCCTGGAAATATATATATATATATATTCCATCCCCACATTTTTTCTTCTAATTGTATTGGATGTATGACGTATCACTTTTGAAGCCGTCTTCATTATTTTATCCAGTCTCAAAGACAATCACAAGATCAATTATCAACACTAGTGCGACGCTTATTACAATTAAATGTAAAATTTTTAATTGATTTTTTTAAAAATGCTTTTGAGCGCTTATAGAATCTCATTGATAAAGCAATTATTAGATGTATTATGTTAAAAATTAAATGCAAGCTAATAAAAATTTACTATTGAAGTAGCATCGTTAAACGTACAAAAAGAGCAATAACGCGCGCGTTATTGAAATGTCTTTTTTTGTATATTATTTAATAAAAGTACTTTAATTTTATTTACATAATGTAAAATAATATTTTACATCAACTGTAATTATTTTTTTTAGGTTTGCGTTCATTTTTTTTCCAGGTAATCGTAAAGGACAAGGATTATAAACTACAAATCCAGTTCCATAAAGTAAAGCACCCATTCAGTCCTATGCCGTATTTATTTCAACTTATTTTTTTTCTACAAAAGGTAAATTTGTTTTCTAAAAACGTGTGACTCTCAGTTGAAGCGCCATTCGAGGCGAACTGTTTCTTGGAGTTTCTCGTGCGCGGTCGACCCAGTTCAAGACTCATAAATAAAAAGGATGAACCACATGGTAAAAAAGTTTTCTAGAGAAAAAAGCTGATGACCGGAGGGTTTCGACGAAAATATTAGTTTTTTTAGGTTGACGACAATAAATAATCACAGACTGGATCATGGAAGAATTTATTTGGTTTTTATGCGATTTCTCCGAGTTTCACCCCGCTACCGGCGACAAATCCACGGAGCGTGGATTAAACGTCTTCGTGGAAAAAGAATGGAAAAGAATAGTACACATTTCGCATTCACTTTTTCGTCAAAGAATTTCGAATCAGAAAAACCTTGTTAAATATTAATCATAAATTTCTATAATTACTCGTTAATAAAAATATATTTAAAACGATCTATCTAAAATTTATTCTAATTAAAAATATGTGCAATTAATACGTTACAAATTTAATTATGACACCATAAGCTTTAAAAGAACTTTCCAGTGTTTAAAAAAAGTTGTAAAAATAAAATCATGATACCTGATAACACACAAACATAATCTTTTAAAAACGTAAATCATATATTTGTGTGCTGTACATCATCATGGAAAACTCACGGTTATGAAAATTGTACAGTTGAATATTCAAAACTCAAAAGTTTGAGAGTCAGCGTTCAAAGATGAGATTAAAAATGACACAGATTAGAAGCTGAATGTACTAGTGTATATCATATCTTAATTACTTTAATTTATAATTATAAATGTGATTTAAAGTTCTTGAATTGCATTCTTTGATAAAGATTGCAATGACAGATCATACATAAAATATTAGACAATTTCAAATTAAACCCTCATTAAGAATTGGTTAAAATTAAATTTCCTCTACCAGTCTACTTCTCATACAATAGTTTTATAGTACTTCATCGACTTGCTTCTCTAATTTTGAAGAACATATAACACATTATAAAAAAATCGCTTGAATAGTTCTTAGGTCACATCATTCTACAGCATATGGTAGCCCAATCAATGGAGTAGAAATATAGTGGTCAATGATATTCAAACTAACACAAGATCATCAATATGACTAATGGTAGCTGGTGCACTCTAAATGTATAAGTGAACTCCAAAATTCTCTACTAAATAAGTATATTTTTTTCTTTAACAATTTTTTTACTCAAGTTAAATTTTAAATCAGTTTTTAAGTGCCTTTAAATACAGTATTGAGCTACTTGAAAGCCAAACTAAGTCAACTCAAAATATTATATTGATAAGATGTATAGCTTTCTAAAACAAACAGTTACTCTGCAACCCATTCAGTCAACAAAATTCTCAACTGGGGAAGTTAGAAAAATGAAGTATCAGCTTATAGCTCGAGCTTAGCCAAATATCTTTTAAGTTACAGATAGATCAATATATAATTTCTTATTCTTTTTCATTTACTGTAAAAACTAGATAATTAAAAATGAACAGTATAGAACTTTTTCAAACTAGTATTTACGATTTCCATTATTACTTCTGTTTTTTTTTTAATTTTCTTTAATAATTAAGTAAAAATATTTATATGCGGAAAATGCATATATGAATCATTTATTTTTGAGCGGTATTAACCTTTCATATAATTCAGAATTGAGCATTGATTTCATACTTCAGCGTTCATAGTAATGTTACATTTGTCTATACTTTCTTCACCCTTATATCTTTCCATAAAACAATCAGATTTCTTAAAGTTTCTTTGAAAACACGGATTGATGAACTTTGTCAGTTTCGTCATGCGTGTAAATATGACGTTAAATATCAAAAATATATTGTACTTTTTGTGCGAACTTTTTTAAAAAAAAATACTGTTTAGAAAGTTGTTTTATAACTAAACGAAAAGCTAACATTTTAAGAATATTTCTTTTATATTGATTTACCATGATAATTGTTTGTCTGTGTTTATCGTCCTCTCTTAAGGGGGCTCCGTACGATTCAATTGACAAAAATCGATTAAAGAATCAAATCTCATTTTTTTAGTCTAAATTATTTTTTATATACTTTTCTACAAATTCACAAAATTTGAAAGCTCTAAGTTTAAAAAACGCAGAGTTATAATAACTTTTACGTTTGTTTTTATTCCCATTCCAATGGCAAATCAAGCTTTAAACTGACTTATCTCAGAAAGATAAAATAACTACCTTGTCTTCGTTTAAAATGCTAAGGCTTTTTTTTTCTATTGTGCTTAATACTTGGAAATTTTTTTTCACTTGTTGCTGAAAGTATATGAAACAAAGTTGGTATGCATTGTTCAATCAAAGCAATGCTTATTTTTTGAAAAATAATTGAAGCTGGAATTTACACACACACATCTCTTAAGGAGTTTTCAATATGCATTCATAAAAGTATTGTACGAATATCTAATCATGTTATCACAAAACCCATACCAACTTTTGTTATACGTAATTTAACGTACTTGTAAATCAAATTTCATATATGTGTGTCAATTTTATAGGAGGAGTAGCATTTTAAATCACTTCATAAGTTTCAAGTTTTTCCCTTAAAAAATTAAATGGTTAGCTTTTTATGAAATTTTGAGTACAAAACCTGTTTTACATCATACATACACGTAGGGGGCAAACCCAAAAAATTATAAAAATCTTTAAATTAAAAATTTTTGTCCCCATGTCCTTTTAAAATTTAATGCATTTATTGAGATCTATAATTTTATTAGAAACATAATTTTTTCTTCCTTGATGTAAAAAAGTTAATTAAAGCTCGAAAATTATTCACGAAAAAGCAGCTTGCCCAAAAATGGCGCCGTTTGTTACAACCCCACGAGCACTTAACAGCGACGAGTCAACTGGTCTCTTAGATGACTAACGAGCATGAATGGAAGACCATTTGCCATATATTGTCCTAATGTCAAAACTTACCGCGGCATTTGTAAGAATCTCTTTCCAGCTTGGAGAAAGCGGTTTGCTTTTGATTCCCGAGGTTTTACTGGTAACGGAAATATATACAGATTTTTTTTCCTTTTCGTTTTTGCGTGCCACTAGCTTGTCAAGTTAACTGCCACAGACACGGGGAGTGAAGCCTGTTATGGGTGTCTTTTAACACTCGTAGATCAACATTTACTTCATTTAGATGCAGTAAAGACTCTATAATCCGGTGGGAAGAAAGCACCGGATTAGCCTGGTGTACGTTGGATTACGAAATTCATAATTATCTCATTTCGGTTGTTTTTATTTACAGTTGAGAATGCCAATAGAATTGTAGCCTGTTTTATGTGGCGGCTCCCAGTTTAAGACTTAAGAAAAATTTATTACGTCGTTGAATATTGATATAAGATTATATTAATTCCCCTCTTTTTCGTTCACAAAAGGAAATAAAGTTTCGAGGACTTTGGTTTGATTTGAATAAACATCGTTTTGCAGTTCCATGAGGATTACAGGAGACAAATCTATGAATTTTAAATCCCAGTCAAGTGACAAGGGTGATGCCTGAATTTATCTCCTTTTTCTAACATTTTTTTCAAATAAATATTCCAGTTTGAAAATCCATATACACATTTTTTTTAAATGGAGAGTTTTCAGGTAAACAGGTTAAAAGATAATTAAAATTACAATAATTATAAATATCTGCAGAATTCTGCCGCTGAATATTGTGCATGCAAAAAAATTGCAAGCATTGAGGATTATTGCACGTTCGTTCGATTAAAATTTGCATAGATTTTAAGAAAATAACCATCTACTTTGGTAGAGAGGGGTATAGTATGCCATTAAAACAGATGATTTGAAAGATATGTGCAATATATAAACACATCAATATTCAAAGACATGTACTAACATTTCTCTCCAAGAAATGTTATATCAAATATTGAAATTTTGTTATTAATATCT